GTTACCGTGTGTAAAATGTTGTTTTGATCTAGACTTTGGGAACATTATTGTGCAAACAGAAATCTTTATCAGTGCCATCTCACATGTTAAAATTTCAGACACTACTATTCTAGTTATTTTATTTGCAGATAAATTGCATTAAGCCCATAATTTTCTTTTCAGCATACACCATTCATTTTATGTTTTCAAGAGATCCTAGTCAACTATTTATTTTCCTTTTGTATTCTGAAGTTGAGCCGGAACCTTCTTAAAGATATTTTGCACAAAGTCGAGTTGACTAAAATCATTAACAATGCAATATGAATTTCATCTGAGAAGGGGCTAGGTCCAGTATACTTCAATATAGGGTTTTTTTTGCACACCTCTGAGCAAACAATAATATGAGTGAGTGTAACTTTTAGAGTGGAAACAAATTGCGTCAGTTCGCTGCTTTGTCTGTGTGAGTTTTCTGGGGGAAGCCCTAGGAAGTGTTTGCAAGGGTAAAACCAGCTCTTGTACTTGGAAGAACTTCGTAAAGCAGGTCAATGCCCTCTGCCAGCATCTCTGAACGAGCGTTTTGTGAGGCTCCGGTTCAGTACACGCCGTTTGTGAGATGTTCTCCAGTTACGGCGACGTAAGGTTTTGCTGGGAGGTAGCAGGTGAAAAGTTGGAGGTTTGCATACCCGAGGGCAAATCTGCTCCGTGTCCCGCTGTAAGACAAGACCCAGTCCATGGGTTTCACACGGGTAAGGGAGAGCGTGTTATAGCAGTTTCATGTCACATCTGGGTGTGTGACATCACAGTTGAAGAGTTTAAGGGATTTACAAAAATAATAATTTTTTTAAATATCGACTTTACTTTTTGATGAGAAAGGACTTTTAAAGCATCACTTGGCAAGTGGATTTGTTTGCAGGTATACCAGAGAACAAAGCTAGGATTTATTCACTCTAATCCCCTTCCCCGCAAGCTCCCAGGTTGGAGACAGTTATTTTTAAGCATTGCATAGCACAGCATCAAACAATTTCAAAAGTCCCCCTCATGGAGGATATGCATTTAACAAAAGTAGAAACCAGTTTCTTTTTTCTGTTGTTTTTACAGCTTCAGAGAAGGTTGAAAATCAGGCAGGGTTAATTTTTTTCTTAACAACCAATACCAGGAGATGTGCTTCAGTGTTGAGCGTGTAACAACTGGAGAAAAAAAATGTTCCTTTGAACACAACACGCTGTACATCTCTCTGTCAGTCACCCAGCACTATTTAGTATCTGAAGATCCAGTTCATGCATTCAGTTTTTATCCCCCTTAAAGCAAGGAAACAACAGAATAGCGTGCTTTTAGTTTATAAAAATGGATGTGCTCCCCACAAGTGGGATTTTGCTGACATGTTTGGATAAAACAAGCTTAAACCCGAGGAGCTTTTCACTTGCAGCATTAAGACACAAAATTTTCATTTTTAACATTAGGACGTTGATGTTGAAGCAAGTTATCCTCACAGAGGAACTTCACCCACTGTAAAGTCGGTCATTTGATGTAATCTGGCTACCTGCACATCGTCTGTTTGTAGTATTCTAAAGAAAACCTTAGAAATAGCAATACTCCAACAGGTCTTGAACTTTGGGTTTTATTTTTCTTGAGCTGGCAGTGGATATATGGTTCTCGCTTCATTTTGTGACCTGATGAAATATGTAGCTTTGACGTCCAAGCCAGGCTCTAGCCTAGTTGTCCTTTTAATCAGATTTCATTGATAAAATTGGGTGCTTGTATTTTGGCTACTTGTTTAATAGTGTTAGGATTGCAAAGATCACCACTAGGCTTTGAAGCTTTGTATTCATTATTTAAGTTTGGGGTTTGTTTTTAACTTAGTTGATAATGGAGTGGGGGAACGTGCCTGTCCACACTAGGGTTTCAGATAGCGGTGAGCGTGCGTGTTGCTCACCATCCCCAGCTAGACATAGTTGTAAATGGTAAAACAGTTGTGCTGCTTAGGTGAGCAAAATGGTTAATGTGGGTGTGGAAGTTTAAAAGCTTTACATCTTTCGAAACCAAGAACAAACCTATAAACAAAAACCCCACCAAGCCCGCACCAGATTCTGTTCTTGCTTGTTGTTTCCTGTGTGCTGATTGAACTAATGGCTAGTCTGGATTTCTTCTGCAGCCTTGAACTTCTAGAGGATAAAAATACTGTCCAGTATCTTTGAACTGCCAGTGTTAACGTGTCTGATGTTCTGTGCAGAGTAAAGGTGCTGTGTGAGGAAATCATTTTGCCGTGGTTTTTGTCTCGTAATGACGTGACCTCATAGCCGTTTGTGGCCAGACGCAGAGGAATACCCAGGCCTGGTGATGCGCCTGTGTGTCGTGGAAACCCGCGCAGGAGTAGCGCCTGCCTCTCCTGGCGCGTGGTGGTGTAGCTCCTCGTACAGGTTAAAGCAAAGTGAGGATCTGCCCATCAGTATCAACGCTACCTGTGAAAAAGCTGGTCGTGGTTTTGGCGGTAGAGCTGCATTTGGCAGGTTGTTAACGGTACAGATGCTGCTGCGTTAGCTGAGGGAGTTAACTTGGTGCCTCCTAATTCTAGAGAATGGGACCTTAGGAATAGCACAACCCCGTAACCGGGCAGCTGCCGCCTCCGGAGAAATGAAGAAGTTTTTCGACTTCCCGAGAATGGCAGCCCCCTGATACGGGATGCTCCTTTGCAGCACTGGGTCACCGGTGGAGGCCCGGTCGGAGCTGAGGATGCAAGAACACGCTGGGGTAAGCCATCTCGTGGGCGTGGGGGCCCGGGCATCTCTCGCTGGCTCCAGGCAGAGCTGTTCCCCCAGGGACAGAACGTGGTGACTGCTGGGGAAAGGGACAGTTGTCTCTCAGGCCTGTTGATTTTTGTCCGTGTCCCTTCGAGGCAGCATTTTGAAACGCCTGTGCGGTTTGCGACGGGACCTTAATAGGCAAAGCGGGAAGAAACTTCACCACGTAGCAAAGAAGGGAGGGTTCTGCTCTCCATCGCTGAAATTGTTTCCATGAGACAGACTAATTAGGTACCTGGTGCAGAGGGACACTGCAGTCCAAATGCTGTCAACAAAACTTCTGTTAGGACTAAAAGCAGAGAGTACAGTACCTTAATAAGGTCTATCTTATTTTCTCATCCTTAATTTTATCTGCCAGTCTGTTTTGATCCCAGCTCCAAGGAGACTGTTACAAACCTCTTGTACTAGTTCCACCGTTTTGCAGTCACTGTTGGTCTGCGACGTGTTTTCTGATCTCTGTTTTGAATGTTTGCATGCGATGCAATTGAGTCCCACTGCATTATGCAGCAGGCATTTATTTTGCCTGTGAATTTTTACACTTTGCTTGTTGATAACGGGATACCCCAAAACAAAATTCTACACTGAAGCAAAAAGAAAGCCCCACAAAGTGTTCTGCACTGCTGGCTTTGGTGGGCAGCGGAGAGGGGAGAGGCGTGTGGTGTACGGGACGGAGTAGCTTCTGGAGAAGGGCACTCCTTGGCTCTGGAGAGCAGCTGATCCGACTGTTTGGGGTGGGTTAGAGGAGACGTCTGCTCCCTGTGAACGCATGAAGGGCTGAGGGATGCTAACATCTCCTGCCCCTGCGGGAACTGCTTAGACAGCGGCAAATCTTCTCAAAAAGCGACTCCTGCATCCCTGCAGAGAGGTCAGAGCTCCTGCACAGGACGTGCACTACCTGGAATTTCTACAGGGGACTGTTAACAGAAAAAAAAAAAGGATCAGATTTTTTCAAAAGATGGGCAAAAGGAAGGGTCCAACCATGAAACAGATTCGTTTGAACATTGCTAATCAGGTCAGGAAATGTGTGAATTCACTTTTAATGGGATTTCTCCCCTTCCATGCTGCCTTGCCACAGAAATCTAGCTCAGAAATCTAAAAGGAGGTGCATCTAATGCATGCTTCGGTTATTCTAAGCCATGCTGCAGCCCTGCTGGGGAAGATGTGGGGCAGATTCAATTCTAGCCACCGGTAGCACACGGCTTGTGAACCTCGGTAGACATGAATCCACCGATGGTCAGTGGCGGTGGCTTTGGCAGAGCCCAGAGCGCGGGCTCCTCGTCTTTCGGAGAGAGAAAGGATGGAGGGGCAGTGCTCCCACCTCTCTGAACACACAGTAGGTAGGAAGCCGGGAGGGTCAGGGGACAGCCTCTGCCTGTTAAAACCTCTGCAGCAGGGTGAGTGAGCCCCCGAGTCAGGAGGGAACATGAGAAACAGATGCGTTTCCCGTTACGCTAACACATATGCCTGTCGGGTTGTATTATCTGACTGGGTTTGATGTATCTATTTCTGTCGTGGCAAGCTTTAGCGTTGGTTCCATTAATTACTAATGTAGTTTGATTAGCGCCTGTATGACAAGGTAATTTTGACAGTTTCTTCTTAACAGCTGCAGAACTTGCTTCAGCTTTGGAAATTGAAATGGGGATTTTTCTGTGCCACAGTCCCGTGAGCTTGTGGATCTTCATTCCTTATCGCTTTCCCTGCCAACCCAAATGGCAATGTACCTGGGGGTTGAGTCGTTACACCTTTTTTTTTTTTTTTTGGTATAACTTGTTTTCCTAACTAGCCCTGTATGTTTCCTCTCTTGGTTGCCAATTACCTGGAGCTGGGATATCATTTATTTATTTCCTCCTCTACCCTCTCTCGAAGATGACGATGGGCAGGTTCTCAGCCTACCTACACGGTGGACTTTCGGTAACATCTCTCTTAACAACTGAGTTTGATCTATACATGTGCTTGGCTAAATGTCTGATCTGCAATTCTTGTAATAGTTTAAAATTCAATAAATACATTTTTAACAGTTGCTCTGTGAAAGCGGAGTGTTTGCGCAACCTGCTGTTCCGTCTTGGTCTTAAGACAAACCTGCTCCAGACTGTTGAAAACAGTTTTATTTTTATTTTCTCCAAACAATTTGTTTTCTCCCTCCCTCAGGCAATAAATAAAAAGTTAATTTCTAAAAAAAAAAAAAGAACAAAACCATACATATGTACATCAGCCACACAGGCATCATGTGTGTTGGATGGGACGGGGGGGAGGAGGAGAGAGGTGGGGTGGGAAGTAAGGCTCCCGGTGGGTTGACGGTGAGGCATTTTCTCGGCTCGGACCAAAAGCTGCAGCACTTCGGCCCAGGTGAGCGAGACCCAGCTCAGGTGGAGAAGGGCCAGTTGTGAGGTGGAGGAGGGTTGAAAATGCTGGATGGGCGACATCCTCCACCCCGCTGGTTCTCTCCTCTGTTACAGCCCACCCATGTCCCATCCTGCTCCTTTTCGAAGAGCAGCCGTGGGACGGGTGGAGAGGCAACCAGACAGAGGCATCGAGAGCAGCCCCGGCTGCAGCCCCCACCCCTTCTTTCTCTTCTTTAAGCCGCAGGAAATTGGACCCAAGTTTTGCAGGACCCAGAGATCCACAGGGGCAAGAGAAGAGGCATTTCGGACTGCATCTCCCCTTCCCAGCTGCCCCCCAGCCACAGCGCTTGCTCTCCCCCAGAGGACCGGGCTCAGCTGGCGTCCCGCAGGTGCCTGCCAGCTCCTGCATCACCTCCCCGGGCACTGGCAGGGACGAGGTTGGCCACCGGTCAGCCCTGGGCCACCGCTCCCGCTTGCCCT